TCTTGATGTGTCCAAAGGTGTCGACGGGTTCGTCGTGCTTGTGCCACAGTGCGAGTGTGTCTTCCAAAATCTTGATGTTGTTCTTGTTTCGCATGAATTCGACGACATCGGCGGGTACTTCCTCGTCGGATCCGTATTCGGGCATTTTGCGTCCCGAGACACCCTGTGCGAGTTTGTCAAACATGAGACGATCTTCGTAGCTCATTTTTTCAATCTTCTTCTTGCGGTTCTTGGACCACCACAAGAGTGTTTCTTCCAGATCCTTTCCAGTCTGCTTGGTGGGTTTGGCCAATTCTCTGTCACGCCACACCAGGAATGCTTTCTCGCACTTCTTTGCCATTTTCTTCTCGTCTCCTTCAAACGCCTTGATATCAATTTCCTTTTTCATGTTGGACTTCCAGAAATCCAAGTAGTCGTCAGCTTTGCTTTGTTTGATGACTTCAAAGAACTCAATCAACTTTTGCTTGGTTTCGGTTTTTCCTTCCAATTCTTTGAGTTTTTTGCGGTGAGCGGGGTAGTTCTCGATGCACCATCCCATGGCTTCCTGCAGTGCCTTGGCCTTGTCTTTGAGGGCGATACTGGCGTCACCCCAACCGTCCAAGACCTGCTTGACTTGCATCGTCTTCTTTCCCATTTCATCGGGTCCACCGGGATGGCCTTGACCCCACCAAGTCAAAATCTCCTGCATCTCTTGGGCACTCTTCATACCAACCTCGGGATTTTCAGTCACATCCTCGTCGGGATGGAACGCCCGGGCCCACCACCCAATGGTGTCCGTCATTTGCTTGTTGCGGGCATCGCCCCCTCCGAACGACGACATGGTGCTGCTCTTCTTCTTCCTTCGATAGAAACTGCTGTACGACTTGGAACCAAGCAATGAGTTCAAGTTTGTGTGGGATCTTCTTTCTTCTTTCTCGAAGTCTCGATGTGGGATGGTTGACGCTGGATCTTGAAAAAAGAGGACCCAATTTTGTCAGTTTGCCGAAAATGACTGTCAGAATGACTTCCGCACAGCGTTAGCTCTAACTCTAGTTAGTACAAGAATTGTCTGAGCCTAACCCTAGTAAAGCATGACTGAACACTGAGTCAGATGAGGAAGAAAAATGACACGCAACCTCCTTCGCGTCAAAACCACGAGAAGTCAATGATCTCAAAGTAAATACCGGTAGGCCACCATGAAGAAGAAGATGATGCCTTCAGCGGTAGCATGGTCATCCATTCTCTTGATTGCTGCTCTTGCCCCTGCCGTCAAGAGCTTCGAGTGTTCCAGTAACCGACCAGGATGGGCCGATCACAGAACGCTTTATGTACCGGACAGCATGTTGGGAGATGATGATGACAGGGACAATGCGTGGATGGCCGCTCTCTGCTGCGTGTATACCCATGTAGAAGTCACCACCTCTTCTTCGATTGTACAATTTGAAATCTATGATGGCTCAGACTATGACCTTGGGCAGTCCTTTTCCTCCTTTCCAGAGGTTGCCGCCGAGGCCATGGACGAAATCTGTGGCATGTCCATGGGAAGTGCCGACTGTCGCAACCAAGCCAGTTGCGTCGAACAGGGATTGACTAGTACTTTAGCTCCAACAGTCGCGCCAACAGTCGCACCAGAAGATATGGAGGAGGTGCCAACTATGGAAAATGTCACAAAGATGTTCCAGGACGCGATAAACTGCAATACGGATCGCCCCAATTCTTGGGCCAGTCACCGCACACTTCATGTGCCAGAAAACATGCTGCTTCCTAACACAGATGGCAGTTTCAGCTTGGCAAGAAGTAGTAGTTACAATGAGAGTAATACTGTTGGCGACGATTATTTCATCACCAGTATTGCCTGGATGGACGCCTTGTGTTGCGTGTACACACACGTGGTGATTGTGCCAACCATCATGGACATTGTTCCAGCAGCCCAACTAGAACGGTATGATGGATACGTTTACAATCTACCAGGAGAAGATTGGATGGAAGTGGCCAGGAATGCCATGACGGATATTTGTGACATGAGCATGGGCAGCCAAGACTGTCGAGGCCAACAGCAGTGTGTCAATGAGGCCTTTGTCAACACGACATTCGATTTCAATGATCCAGCAGGAGGAGGAGAACGAAGGACTGAGCTATCCAACGTTGGAGAGGTCACGTCATCCTCTCTTTCGTCCTTCCTGGGACATGCTACGTCCACAAGTAGTCTGGTTGTGGGACTATTATTGCTTCGTCTGTGGTTGTGAGCCATAGCCATGCATCCAACGCAAGATGAAGACATTGATTCGATTCGAAGTACCTTTGTGGATGACCCAAACTGTTGTACAAATACATTTAATTAAACTAGGATGTTATTTCTCATCTCATCTGTGACGGATTTGAATAACCAACTTATGTGGAGGAAGACACTGACATCACACTCTCTCTCTCAGTCTGCATTACATCACACACCAATGTAGCTGTTATGACCAAAGTGAGCAAATTGCTGTATGAGAATTCTCGACCAAACAAACTCTTAAAAAAGGACAACCATCCAGGAGTTTCCTTGTTGTCATTGCTAGTCAAACTCTAACTCCTTGTCTCCCCAACCAAGGGAAGCCTTGTGCTCTTCAAAACAGTCTCGAATGCCATTCAATATCTTTTCGTGAAGCTCATCAATCTGTTTTTGCGCTGGCTCGGCTACTTTATCAACGTAGATTGGGTCGCCATAGACCATGGTAATTTGACACCTCCGTGGAATGGGGAGACCAAAGCGACCCCAGTACACAAAAATGCTGGCTTGAGCTTTGCGACTGATCTTTTCCATGTACCCAGAAGGGTCCCACCAAGCCGAAAAACAAGATGTGTTGCCAAAGGAGTATGCCGGTAGAATGTTGGTCCCCGTTCGAAGGGCATGTCGTGCCAATCCTTTGCGATGTTTCAGAGCGACCACCTCTTTGTGTTCATTCTGACGAAAGATACCGGCAATACCATCGGGGACAATTCCCACACAGTGACCCGCTTCGGTGGCTTTTTGAAGCGAGGCACCACCGACGGGAACCGAAGGATAAATCGTCAGATACCTCAGGAAGGGAGTGTTCATCACTACCGATGCAGGAGCTCCCAAAAAATCAATGCCGGGTACGGCATTGATTCCAGGTATTGATAGAACATTGGCAAATGGCATGACTCCATGTGGAGGCTGTAAATTTAATAAAAGTGTGGGTGTAAGAATCCAAAACGCCAAACAATGACAAGAATTGGGCCCGCATAAATCAACTTACCCCAGCCCCAATCCATGGTACAGCCTCGTGTATTTTGATATGAGAATCACCCGACCACACAAATCGATAGGAAAAATATTTGTAGATACATCTTGTCCACCAGGAACTAATGATATGTTCTCTGGAGTATTCCACGGATGGCATTGGATGGTAGGCCAAAATAGCCGATATTAACACGGCAACGGCGCACTGGGTCCAAGTTCCCACGCAAAGGATAGTAATCATGGAAGCGATCCATGCTAACGGTCCACCAATCATGATTCCCAAACTCACGACGACCACGGCTTCTTCCACAAATGAAATATGTGCCGGGGTGGTAAGACTGTTTGGTTCGAACGGTCCTTCTTCCGTGTGCTTGACCAGGGTCTGCTCCTTGCTCAAAGCCATGGACTCTATGATCTTGATTCTTTCTTCTTTTTCAATTTTGAAGAGATGTGGAGGGACGGCCCACACATCGATGCATCGATGGGGGCGGCCGTTGTGTTTCTTCTTTTCGTCCGTCATGGTGAATGAGAGTGGGGAATCTATTGAATGAATCTTGGAGGAAAAGAGGGTAGCAACCAAAGCTATCCTCGGGACTTCTCGTGAGAGGAAGGGAGACCCCAATGGAAGAGATCTTCCAACTTATAGCTCCTGCCAATACCGAACTCGCAAAAGGTTCTTGTTGGATCCTCCATTGGCTTTTCATCGGGAAGTTTTTGGCGGGTCCGGGCTTGCTACCGTACGGTACGCAGTAGCCATGGTGATTCTTACATAGAGGTATCCAGACGTCATAATAAAAATAATATTGCGTCATTGCCTTTCAAATGATGACGTCACCCATGAATGGAATACAGTCCCGCGTTTACGGAAACGTATCTATCATACATGTAGCTACAGTACGGTACATTATTTATGATAAATTATTATTGTTGTTTTGCCCTCACCAGTCCCTCTTGATCACCAGAACCAACCGGTATCCTGGAATAAAGGACACCGGAGGTGTAATAGATATACCGGGCGAGCTGAATTAAAAGATGGGCCGGCATAATAATATTGTTAAAGTTTGGCTGAAGGTAGTGTCATTAGATTTTTCCGTCTGAGAAAGTGGCGTGGTAGCTTACGGGAGTTTAGAGGTGTGCAACATGAGACGTTAGATTTTTCCATCTGAGAAAATGGCGTGGTAAATTACGGGACTTTAGAGGTATGCAACGTGAGACGTAAGATTTTTCCGTTGGAGAAAGTGGTGTGGTAGCTTACGGGATTTAGAGGTGTGCAACGTGAGACGTAAGATTTTTTCATCTGAGAAAGAGGCATGGTAGCTTACAAGAGTTTAGAGGTGTGCAAGGCCAGTCATTAGATTTTTCCATCTGAGAAAGTGGCGTGGTAGCTTACGGGAGTTTAGAGGTGTGCAACGTGAGTCATAAGATTTTTCCATCTGAGAAAGTGGCGTGGTAGCTTACGGGAGTTTAGAGGTGGGCATCGTGAGGAAAATATTAGGATCCGTTGCTACCGTATGATTATTATGAGAATGCGTGAGAAAGAGGGGGTTGAAGTAAATCTCTAACCCTAAGGATAACCAACCAACCAAACCCACCACCACCACATAAAGGACACCGGAGGTGTAATAGATATACCGGCGAGCTGAATTAATAAAGATGGCCGGCATAGTAATATTGTAGAAATTTGGCTGAAGTTAGTGTCACTAGATTGGTCGGTCTGAGAAAGTGGCTTGGCTGAGGAAGTGGCTTGGTAGCTTAAGGGAGTTTAGAGATGTGCAACGCAAGTCATTGGATTTCTCCGTCTGAGGAAGTGGCTTGGTAGCTTAAGTGAGTTTAGAGGTGTGCAATGTGAGTCGTTAGATTTTTCCGTCTGAGAAAGTGGCTTGGTAGCTTAAGGGAGTTTAGATGTGGGCAATGGAGTCAAAGTTTTCCCTGAGAAAGTGGCGTGGTAGCTTACGGGAATTTAGAGATATGCAACATGAGTCATTACATTTTACCGTCTGAGAAAGTGACGTGGTAGCTTACGGGAGTATAGAGGTGTGCAATGTGAGTGGTTAGATTTTACCGTCTGAGAAAGTGGCGTGGTAGCTTACGGGAGTTTAGACGTGTGCAATGTGAGTGGTTAAATTTTATCGTCTGAGAAAGCGTTGTGGTAGCTTACGGGAGTTTAGAGGTGTGCAACATGAGGAAAATATTAGGATCCATTTGCTACCCTACCTATAATGAGAGTGGGTAAGAAAGAGGGGGTGAAGTAAAACGCTAACCCTAAGGATGACCAACCAACCAAACCACCACCACAATAAACGGGGTCAGAGATCCCCGGGGTCTGCCCGGTATATAAACAGGGTCAGAGATCACCGGGGTCTGCCCGGTATATAAACCGGAGAATAAATGAGATAGATCTCCTTGATGACGGCACAGCCCAATCAACCATGTCATTTACTGCTCCAGCAGGACTTGCTGCGTCGCTTGATGACATGCTTGTCCTAGAAGAAAAGTGTAGCTGATTGTCCTCACTTTCTCGAGCATCCTGAGCTATGACTGAAAATACAACCTATGAAAGCCTTGATGGCAAACGTTGTGCTATCAGCGTCCTGGAAGATTCCATGTTTGGATTTGCCTGTGCTGACATTATCTACCTTTATGCTGATTTGAGGCTTTTGTCTGCCACTGGATACACATCAACTCCCTTTGATCAACTAACTGTGGACTCTGATGCCTACTTTGGTCGAATACCCGCCGGACGGATCGACCTTCAATTAAATGGACGAAAGGACCGCCACAGAAGAACCAACCCTGCCAATATGCTTTTGAGCCTCTTACAAGAACTACAACAGGAAGCAGCCCGATGTAGAGACAGTCAAGTATTGGAGGCACAAGAAGAAAAACTAAACGGGGCACTCTTTGCGGTTCGCCGAAGGCGTCAATCTGCGTCATTGGTGCGCATGCCAGCCGGGGTCTCTCCCTCCAATACCAGTGAGAGCAACAAGAGTGGAAACTATGGCAGATCCAATGCTCCGTGTAACCCTATGCTGGATTGTATTGAAATGATTCTGAAATCTAGCATGAAACACGATCCTTCAAAGCCCAGCACATGTTTTCTCAAAGACCTCAACACTGGCTGCTGCCTCAAGCAATACTTTCATCTACAGTATTCCCAGCTCCTACTCAGCAACCTCTACAGAGACGCCAAAAATGCGGGTCTGTATGACTCCAAAGAAATGCCCACCACCACACGACAAACCGATGATGGGGTCCAGGATGGGGCGTTGTTTCTCTTGGAAGAAGCCATCCATGCACCCTCTGATGCCAAGATTTCCCAAATTCTACAGAGTCAATTCAAGGAGAAATCCATTGCTAGCCAGCTTATGAGTGACTCCTCTGAATTAGTTTGGTTTCATGACTACTTCCCATCACACGAGGCCGTGTTTGGGATCCTTGTGGACTACAATTTGAAGGTCATTCACATAGTGTTTCGAGGCACAGTCACTGTGCAAAATTGGATGAGCAATTTGAAGTTTCATTCTGTAGTGGCGCCCAATCCCATTCCAGAGGATTATCCCAACAAGAAGGAGCATTTCAATCTGCATGATGGATTCCAGTCCTACATTCTACGACAACGCTTGGATACTCACCAACAGTGGTATGAAACTGTATGTGATTTGGTGCACTATTATGGCAACAGTTTGTTGGGTGGGACCTATCGAATGACAGTGTCAGGCCATTCCTTAGGTGGAGCCTGTGCTACCCTCATGGGATTCTACGCTAGCACTGACCCACGAATGACACTACAGGGTCCAGTTGTCATTCAAAGTTTTGCTGCTCCCATGGTGGGGTGCCATTCATTTGCGGATGCCTTTCGTCATCAGGAGACTGTGGGCAAGCTGCGGCATGCTCGATTCTTCAATGAGTCAGACATTGTGCCTAGGCTACCACTCAACGTAAAGTTCTGGGAGGCCCGTGGAAGTCCTTGGGCCCACACTGGCCTTGGGATTGAATTGTTCACTATCCACGATGATTCTTGGTCGGCTGCTTCCTGGTGCAAGTGGGTGTCTCGAGGTTGTCGGCGGCGCACCATGGACTCTTGTCTGGCTGCAATCAAGTATGCTGCCAGAAAAGACTACTGGGAAGCATTATGGGACGCTCTTTGTGGTAACTTGATGTTTCACCTTGACATTTTCAACACGGGAAGGAATCACATCATGTTAGAATGCCAAGCAAGAATGCAGCATGCCCTCTTGCGGTCAGTGGACGATGGCCTTGATTGCTGGACCAAGCTATCCCTGGATGACCTGTATCAAAGGCACCTGAAGGGGCAGGAAGCTCAAGTAAGGGATCCATACGCCAAGCTGAAGGCCACTCTGGCCTTAGGCACAATTGCAGTTGGGGCATCGTCCGTCTTCCTCGGAAGATGGATATATACGATAGATGTTTGCGCTGGCTTGCTAACCAAAGATAAAAAGGAAATGTGAGCTGGGTTCTTGTTTATTGATGAGACTAGACTTGACTAAAGTTTTAGCGCTTTCTCTGCGTGCAATTTTTAAAAAAATGAGATCCATGATTTCCATGGGTTGCCCCCAAATTATCCATTGCAACGTGAGAACTTGAAGCCCTTGTCGGTATCACTACTGGGTGGAAGCTCCATGGCCAAGCCAAAGTCAAACAGCTTGACAGGGTCTTCTTCAAAACAAAACCCGCCATTGGCGGGTTTCAAACTTGGTGGAGGATTGGATTTTGGTGACTGTGGGCAATCGCACTGGAGATCTCGATGGCGGCTTGTCCTCAAACCCATGAAACAGTAGCTGCGGCGTCTTCCTTGAGAAAGAGGTCCGGCCAAACCCTTCTGGACCACAAGAAGGCGCGGCGACGAAGTTGGAAGGAATGGAATCGGCGAGTGGAAGCGTATGGTGGTCGTCGAAAAGCCACCAAGCCAGTCATCGCCACCGATGCAGTCCAACGAAGCCAGCAGCGGTTGCAGCCATGTTCTACGTCTCCACGGCCAAGAAGAATTACCCATAGAGTTTTGATATTATGAAGTTTCTACATAAGTCCAAGTGTAACAAGGGGGGCCCGCCATCGTGTAGAGGTTGAATTGTATTCTGCGACACGACAGAGCACCCGCGTATCCTGGTGCCGAGCGACTACAGTCGGTTCAACCGACCTCGTTGAAGCGCGGTCGTGCCCGAATCGAATCTATCCACCGATACGCGTTGTCAAGTATGATACGTCCAAAACTGCCTTTTCTGTCTCTTTCTAAAAGCAATCCACCAAGTCCTCCAAAATGTCTTGAATGTCTTCCATGGAAGGTCGGATTTCTGTCACATCCGAGAATCCCCGCCGCAACAACTTTCGGACCGACAGAGGCCACGATTTGTCAATGGCAGGACGACGTCCCAAAGTGGCAACCTGTTCCTTCACTTCCTGCCCCGTGAACTTTTCAAAGGGCTTGGCCAGTGCCATAATCTCGTGTAGCAACACACAGAAAGAGTACACGTCGGCCTTGAAACCATAAGGTTCTGATCGGACTACTTCCGGTGCCATGTATCGTGCTGAAGAAATAATGATAACGACATGTGAGTAAGGATATCAATAAACCGGTACCATTTCATGTACAGCCATGCATCCACCTACAGTGTCCTTACCTGTTCCGGTGTTGCCTGGTAACTTGAAGCCCTTGTCAGGATCATTGCTGGGTGGAAGCTCCACAGCCAAGCCAAAGTCAAACAACTTTACGCGGTCTTCTTCAAAACAATAGCCGACGTTGGCGGGCTTTTAATAAAAAAGTAGGTCAAGGAGGTATCAATGAATTGCTGCGTGAGCCAACAATACAACTTTGTAGGGTTATCGCTTTGTCAAGAAGAAGGCTTACCTTGAGATCGCGATATAGGATTCGGTTTCGGTGGCAGTAGGCAATGGCACTGGAGACCTCGACAGCGGTTTGTATCCGTGCCGCGCAGAATGGGAACTGTTCTGGATCAAAGGTATCTACTTCTTCGGCGGCCGAGTCCTCGACTGCCTCTTCCGAAGAACTGGCTTCTTCGAGGGCCGGAACGGCGGCACTTGCATCCCCACTGACATCGCTGGCCTTTCTCAGTAACTTTTTTTGGCGTCTGACGGCCACCTTCCATTCGTGGAGTTGCCTGTGTAGCGTCTTGTCCAAACGAGGCAAGACGAGAAAGAATCCATCAATGCGCCCCGTGGCGGCATACCCCGAGACCCCCGAGGATGCAAATCCCTTGACCTCGAGAATGTTTTCATGATTCAGCGAGGACAAGACGAACCCCTCCATGACCAGGTCTTTGGCTCCGATAGCGAGCTGTTTGGGCTTGCTCACCAACTTGGGTGCCAGATGTTTAATGACATATCGCTTGGGGTCGACCGAGTTGCGGTCCAGGTCGTTGGACACCAAGAACGACTTGATTTCTCGGACTTCGCAAAAGCCACCATTGGCCAAAAGTTCTCCCATTTCCAAATCTTCGAGCGCGAAACGGGGCAGCTTGTAGAGCTTGCAGTGCTTTTGGATATAGTTGGATTTGGCGACGGTCTCTGCCACGCGGGTTTCCGTCTTGCGGACAATCCAGTCCGCATCTCCTTCGGTCAAGCTGATACCCGTGCAGGTAGAATGCGAGGCACTGGTGTGATTGTTCTGATACTTGTCATGCCGGCTGCCCTTGTGCGAGCTGCCCGAGAGGGTCTTGCGAACGCCGCGAGCGGTGGGAAACAGTCGAGGCATGGTTGTGCTTTATCTTATCTGACTGATGGGTAACCAAATGGGAGAGCCCTCTTTCTTTTGATTGTTGCTGTTGATCGAAGAATGAGGTGAATTATGACCACAAGCAAGAAATCTGAATGACAAAAGATCAACAAGCATGCAATGGCTGACCAGTTTTGAGAATGCCTCTTTGCTGCCGTTGTGCCTCTTTCCTGCCCTTCTTGGTGGTGAACGGGGGCGCCGTCCGTTGGTCACCCTCATCACTGGGTGAGAAAACCTACCTCCTTGCTGCTGTCAGTCAAAAGAAGGGAAGCTCGTTATTACGGAGTACCGTATCGTATGGTACTGTCCGTATCATACTAGTACCGGTATTAGTATTAGTACGGTATTTAAATAGCACGAAAGCTAACCCACAAATCCCAGAATCTTTCGCTGGACAACAGCCCATGAACCAACGCACGCACCAGCCAGTTCTTTAGAGAGTCATTGATGACCCAGATCAAACTTCAACCAGGTGACTCACCCAAGACAGTTCATTGTAACCCTGGGTAGATCTGGTACGTTGTGTACAGGAGTATCTTATACAGGCTACCCTTCGCTTTGTGACTACTAGGACTGACTTAAATGTCAATAGTCACAAGAAGAATTCTGGAATTGCGAGATAGAACGGCAATTGAGGTGTGCAATTGGTTCCACTGAGAACCGAGAAATAGAGAGAAAAAAGAAAAAGAGCATTGCGGTTTGGACCGATAGTCCATTGTTGTACACGTAGAGGGTGATGAGAGAGTGGTACTGCATACGGGGCGAGCTACATGCCTAGCTAGCTAGTAGTTTTGTTTGGGGAAGCTGGCATCAGCAGGTCTTCTACGGATAAGGTAGGGTACGACTGTACAGTAGCAGTTGAGGTGAGCTGTATGCATAGTTGTCCTGGACTGCTGGCGAGAGGAAAGGGCTGTGCAGGCCAGTCGGCGTGGCTCCTTCGAACAACTACAGTGGCCATGAAAAAGAAGTCACCGTATCGAATCATCCAATGGTAACACGTACATGTAGACTATCAGCACTGGGCAGCCCAACTCTCGTCATCCTACATGTAGTACTAGCCAGCCAACTAGCTAGCGAGATAGTCAAATGGATAGAAGGCCTCTTTGCATTACGTATGATCATTGAGCCACTGCTCCCTCCCCCATAGCCCACAGAGGTCTAGTGGAATTAGAGGCCTCTTAGCTAGTAGAAAGCTGCTGGCTGGTCAGCGCCATCGAATGGATGCTGTTATAGAGCATCTTTTGTTTCAGCTCCTGTTTCTGTAAAACAATGGTGGAATGAATTTGCGAAAATTGAAAAGTGAAAAAGTGAAAAAGTGAAAAAGGGCACTCACCCGATCGATCTTGGTATATAGGCGGCGCGAGCGTCCCCGGCCGGCCAGAAGCCATTCGAGCTGGGATATGGGGCCCAGTGAGAGTCCAAAAGCAAAACAATGTAAATAACAAATTCGACTCACCAGGAGCT